ATATATATATATATATATATATATAAGAAAGGAGGAGATAATTCAATTTAAACAAGAGAAGGCTAACGACAAAATAGTTCAAAGTTTGAGAGAAAAAAAAATTCGGGCGTTACATGAAACTATTTCATATAATATTTAATGAAATTTTAATGAAACTGTTTCATGTATTTCTCTAAAATTAAAATAATGAAGATGATAATATCCATGATTAACACCCTCCACAATAAAAATGGTTAATCAACCTCTCATAATTACAAAAAAATGAACGAAATAAAAAATTATGATTGGTTGAATGAGGTTTGTACGGTTTGTATAAATTAAGTGGTTTTTATTTGAATGCTTCTCTATATAATAACATTACAATAAGTTGTTAGAACGAATTAAAATGACCTCACAATTTCTATCGATAAAGTTGAGCAATCTGATATAACAAAAAAATTGCTTTTATTATTTCTATAACACTAGCTTTTAAATATTGTGATCATTTAATATAAATTTTAGAAAAATGTTACCAAGAAACTTTTTAGAAGCATCATTATTAAAAAGATTAATATGATAATTTTATTTCTTGAGTTCTCTTGTTTGTCCAATTTTTTTTTTATAAAACTTATATTGTTTAAATTTATCCTAACAACTTAGGTATTATTTGGTTTGATAGAATGATTTTGAAAGATTTGGATTTTATGGAAGGATTTAAAAAATTTGGTGCGTTTGATTTACAAGATTTGGAATGGAACTGAATTTTGTTCTTTATAGATAGTTTAAAAAAAAAATTTGAATAATTATAGAAAAATTTAATTATAATTTTATTAATTGATTATTAAAAATAATATTTTAAACATATTTAAAACATTATTAATTACAAATTCAATGAAATCCCATAATCCTTTAATATATATATATATATATATATATATATATTAAAAGAAGAATAAAAAATATTGAGGTGATATCATGATAATCGAGTATTGAGATGTTGATGAATTATGGTTAAGTTTGAGACATCCTACTTTAATGAAAGATTGAATCAATATATATATATATATATATATATATATATATATATATGTTTTGAATTAAATGAACATTGATGTAAACAAGACAATCTAAGGAGAGATGGGTACGAACGAATGAATATGACTGATGATAGCGAAGGGTTTTTTATTACGAAATTATGGTGTGAATCACATGATCAATCATGTATGTAACATATGTTTTATCAAAATCTAACATTTCATTGAAACCTTAATTTTATTTATACATCTCCAAGGACTATGTTAAAATAAAGTAAGAATCAATATAAAATGAATCCAGAAACTTAAATGACTGAGAACCTTGAAGTATAAAAAAAATCTGAAACAAAATAACTCATTCAAACCAAAAACGGTTTCAGGTTTCAGGTTATTCGGTTGCGGTTTAAACGGTTCTGTTAATCAAATCAACTAAATTTCAATTTAGATTTACTCTTACCATATCAGTTAACCAAATAGCAAAGTATACTATTATTTAATTTATATAATTTCCTTCTAGATTGAACTCGTTTGAACATATATAAAACTAAAAGAACAAGAAATTGATATATATATATATATATATATATATATAAAACAAAATCAGCAACCAACATTATTATTGTAGTATGATTGCAAGAATTAGCCCAATATATAGGGAGATCGACTATCAAGCAAGAGAGTGGGGGTTTTGTTAAAACAGACTAGGCCACTGGAGGATACCGTCGAAAATGATTGGAAGGAACTAAGCACATTTGAGTCTTGACCTTCCACACCTTTAACAATGGACCCTGAATATAAAAGGGAAAATTGAATGAAAAAGTAACGTATTTTCAAAACTTTTATTTTGGTACCTAAGATATAAAGTTTTAAATGTTTAAGTGGTCGAGTAACCGGTTGAAGCATTAACCGGTTACCATGCTGATGTGTCGAGTGATGAGATGAAATTGGATTGAATTGTAAATAATACTGAGTTGAAAAAAATTCCACATTTCATGGTCTATTCAGTATTTATCACTAGCTTGTCCTAATTAATGTTGGTTTTAGTGTTAACCAGTTGTCACAATACATGCATTATCGTACTGATGAACACATGGTGGCTCTTAAATGTCTCCTATGATACTTAGCATATACAATCAATAAAGGAATCCTGATTCACAGTAATTCACCTTCACGACTTCATGCCTTTTCTGATACTGATTGGGTAAGAGGCAAGGATAATTACATTTCAACTACCGAATATGTTGTCTACCTTGGCCACAATCCAATCTCGTGGAGCTCTTAAAAGCAACGAATTGTTGCCCGCTTATCTACTGAAGAAGAGTAACGTGTTATCACATCAACCACAACTGATGTTCTTTAGATTCTTCCTCCGCTCATTGAACTCGGCCAATGATCCACAATTCAACCATCTATTTATTGTATCAGTTTAATAATGTTGGGCAATGATTATGCACAGAAATAATTTGAATTCAAAGTAAATAAACAAAAGATTATATATATTAAATTTAGTATATAAACGAACGAATATAAACAAACGGTAAACAAACGACACGAACATAAATGAACGAACAAGACTCTTGTTCATATTCGTTCATTTAACTAAACGAACAAAAAAAAATTGTTCATGTTCGTTCATTTATTAAATAAACGAACTTCCATCGAACGAATAACATAACACAGGGACCAGGAATGTAATTTACTCTGATAAAAATATGTTAAATAATTTTAATAAAAATTTAATTCAAGTATTAAATATGTTTTTTGAAAAAGTACTCATTAATTAGGATATATGAGATAGACCACTTATAATTTTATTCATATTTTATGTAATGGTTATTTAAAATAATAAATAAAAAAATTCTAAAATTTATTTTAAAAAATTCAAATATTATAATTTAAATTTTTTAAACCAATATATTCACTACAACAAAATCGGGTTTATAGGACACTACCAAATTATAAGCGTCCTAATAGACATTTTTATAGGATTTAGATTATAGGACCAAAAAAAATAAAATGTTCTATCTAATGGTGTTGTATTAAGTTTATATAACGTTTTTTTGGTGTCGTAATAAGTTTTTAAGACACTTTTAATATAAAACGTCCTATTATCAACTTTATAGGACACTATTTGAAAAAATGTCCTATAAAAAATTGAGTTTATAGGACAATTTCTCAAAAGTGTCCTATAAAGTTGCTAATGCGACATTTTGTACTAAAAATGTCCTTAAAAACTTGTTAAGACGCCCAAAAGCGTCGTATAAACTTATTACAACACATTTAGATAGAACGCTTTATATTTTGGTCCTATAAATTAGGTCCTATAAAACGGCCTATTGAGACACTTAGAGATTAAAGGTGTCCTACAAACCCAATTTTGTTGTAGTGATTATATTTTTATTTTTTTCACCATCTTGTTTGTAAAAGTTAATATATTTTATTATTAAAGATTTGTTTCAATTAATCCAAAACAATGATGGGTTTGTGTTATAAACCTATAATCTATAATCTGTTAAATATTATAATTGATTAGTTTTTCAAGATACTTTTTTGGTAATTTTACATTCTTATCAACTAATTTATCAAACATGATTTGTTTATCAGCTAAATTATAACCTAACAGCTAGCTTATAAGCTAACAACTTGTTTATCAATCATCAACTAGTTTATCATCTACCAATTAGCCTATCAGATAATTAGCAAAGATAAGAGTTTTTTTTTTTTTAAATTAGTCTCATTATATATTTTGTCAATTAATTTTCAATATTTTCTTTAATTGTCTTATATTGTTATTTAATTGATCAGTTAATTTTTACTATTTTATCAGTTAATTAGTTTCTCAAATATAACGTTGATAACTATACTTTACCACCCAAAATATTGCAATCACACCCACAAACACACACACACACACACACATATATATATATATATATATATAAATGAATCAAGTTCATACAAAACAATAATCAAATAAAAGAACATGAAAATGACCAAATCACATGTAATTATACACTAATCATATGTAAAATCAAATGTAATTCATGCGACTTTGGCCGCGATACAAGGTAGCGGGCAAGGTCACCTACTCACCCTTGTGTTGAAGGTGTCCATAATCACATGTAAAATCACATACATATTGATTTTTTCATATCTTATTTTGACCATGATCCTCCCTCGTGTGTCTGTGTGTGTATATGTATGTGTAGGAGTTGGTTTTTTTGTTAACCAAATAATTGATGTTAATCCTCATTTGTGTATGTGTGTGTGAGTATATATATATGCAGGAGTTGGTTCTTTTGTTAACCAAATAATTGATGTCAACTATGTGAATCAATCTTAGCCCTTAATTCTTGAAATCTATGGATTAAATTATTCATGTCATATTTGTAATAAATGAAAAACTGAACATATATAAACATTGGTGAACATTCTTGAATAGGAGTATTTGTGGAAAATGTAATGGCATATGAACACCTACAAACAATCTTAGTAAACACAATGAACATTATATGGTTATGAACACAATCTTACGAACACTTTATGGTTATGAACAAATTTTTATGAACACCTACGAGCATCATTTATTAATGCAATCCAGATTAATATGGTGAACAAGTTAGTGTATTTTGAGAACGTTTCACATATGAATCTGCAAGTAACATAATTATTTTAGAATCTTGAAATATATATGATGATATGATTATGATACCTAAAAACATGCAAGTAATAATTTGTAACATTTAATTAAATACCATAAAAGTAAGTTACATATAAAAAATTTTGACATCTCATTAAATACCATAAAAGTAACTTACACCTAAAACTTAGGTTCTTATTATTCGTCACTAAATCAAACATTTAAAGTAATCTCTAATAAAAAACGAATCTTAAGGGGTGTTTGGGATTGCTTATTTTAGGTGTTTTTTGACTTATTTCAGTCTGGCACTGGTGATAAGCTAAATGCTAATGTTTTGATGAGAAAAAATAAAATTGCTTATACCGGTGCCAAACCGGTAATAAGCAGTTTTTGATAAGTTAATCATTCATGGCTTATGAAAAACTGTTTATTACCAGTTTACCATTTTAACCATGTTTTATTAATGTTTGTTAATTATTAATCTTATTGATATAAATTTTTGTCAAAAATATTATTATAAATGGTGAAAAACAAAGTTTTACATGTTAAAAAATCAAATAAGTTAATAATAAAAAATATTATTATATGAAAGACTGTCAATTTTGGTCATTTTACATATATAAGCAAAATTTGTCAAACACTAAAAAACAACTTATCAGCTTATTGTTTTTTGGTACCGCTATAAGCTAATCCAGACACTTTTTACAAACTCCGATTTAATACCACATAAATTAATAAGGATTTTAAAAAAAAACATAAATTATTTTAAATAAACAATCTCAAACACCTCCTTATTGGTCCAATAAATTTGTAAAGATGTTACCTAGGTTGCATACGTATATGTTAACACCACATTTTTTGACTTTGACAGCTTGTCGCGATGTTGACCTTTGACTAATTGAAAGTAAGGCAACTGAAATGATTTATCGACTCGCCATTGCTCATTCTAATCCTTTCTCTATATATACACACAGCACAACCACACACTTGATGCACCACCACCATTTTCAATCTCATAAACCAGATCTTGTTAAATCTGAAAATGTTACGTAATTTGTCTTCATTTGCAGCTTATCTCAACTGGGTTTGGGATTTCTTGATCCATCTCTCGTTCTACCGCCACCGATTAACGGTGTCTCTGGTGCCGGAAAACAGCCGGTTCAGGGAAGATGGTAGATCGACAGAGCCGGTGGAGTGTGTAGTGTGTTTATCGAATATCGAAGAATATGATGAGATACGGGTGCTGAGATGTAAGCATTTGTTTCATAAAGAATGTTTGGACCGTTGCGTTGAGTACCGGCACACAACTTGCCCGTTGTGCCGGGATTATCTCGCAGGGCCTCGGATGGTCTGCGAGCTCGGCCGGGAACTCATTGTGCTTAGTTTTTGTGGTTCAAATGATGACGATTTTGAGAGATGGTGGCTACGCTGATTTGTGTATGTACACATGCACTTTAGACCATCTATATATAGTTTGAGATGTAAAATTTGACATAAACAGTAATTTACCCGTTATACCATGTTTAATACCAAATATAAAGATAATTTTATACTATAATTAGATTATCAATTACACTCTTGTATTTATTAACTGTTTACAAATATGAATGGTAGCCAAAATAAAATTTCTAGTTGTATCGCTTTATTTCGTCGCATTCATATGCATCCAGGGACGGACCTATTTAGTTGGTATAGGTGGCACGTGCCACAGTATTATTCTTCTGTCAAAGGGTAAAATATTTAGGTTTGCGAATGGTGCAACCGTATCGTTTTAGAAGGTTCTACCGTAATATATTTTTGAAACTTAAAATGGTGCAACTGAAACCCAAATAAATTGGAAGCCCAATTTTGTAAATTAGAAACGCAAGTAAATTGAAACTTTAAGTCCCAAATGCAAAGGCCTTAGCCGGCCAAACAAAGTCGTGGTTGTATATTGTGTGGGACGAGACCGAGACGAACAGCGAAACGGATGTGAGAGAGACGAGTGCGAATCACGGAATTGGATGAGAAGAAATCGGAAATCGGAGGATGAATTGGATGATTCTCGAGTGTGACCATGTCTAGGAACGAATCAACTCACTTGCTACAGTGCTATTTGCCTATCTGGTCTCTATTTTCATATTTAGGCATCCATTTTGTTTTTGAATCTTGATTACTTGATGTCTTGATCTGTTGATGAGTTGATCCATACAATTTTACATTTAGTTCATTAGTAATTAGTTGTAGTTTACTTGATGATGTTGATTAGATTACTCATGACTCTTGAAGTCTTGAGTCTTGATTACTTGATAAATATGAATGCAATTTTACATTTTATATGTCTTGATGACTTGATCAATTTACAATTTTACATTCTACAGTTTTACGTTATTGATTTCTTTATCAGTACAATTTTAGATGTCTTGATCTTGATTGTGTCATTGTGAATTGGTGAATTGTGATAATTGTTGATTATTTGGCGTTTTCGTCTTTTTTTTTGTTAGTTTTTTTATTGTTTTATTTACATTTTACAGTTCATTGCTTCATTACTTAATGTTAATAACATGATATGTAAATTTTTTTGAAACGAAAAGCGTCATCAACCGGTAATAATGCATCCAACAACAATGTGGTTGATGTTAACAATTTTCCTTGGGATCCATCAAAGAGACCCAAAATTAACTTAGAACCCAAATCAAAGAGATGAAATTAGACGGAAATACTTAATAAGGGGGCCTTGTCAACCATGATGTCATGACTTTCCAACCAAAGTTACGGGGGCTAAAGCAAGATGGTTTGTTGTTACTTGGTTTGATCAATTTCAATGGTTGGAATACAGTGTAAAAGTAGATAGAGCATATTGTTTGCCTTGTTACATGTTCAGAGACCAAGGTGGGAATCATGGGACAGATGCATTTGTGACGGAGGGATTCAATAGTTGGAGTAAGAAAGACAAACTTACGCTTCATCAGGGTGAGGCTAATAGTTTTTACCATAAAGCACTTAAAAATGTGAAGATTTGGTTAGACAAAACCAATCAATTGTTGTTGCCCTTCACAAGCAAACAGAACTCATGAAGACCGAGTATCACATGCGATTGAATGCTTCCATTAAAGTTTGTAGATACTTGTTGAAGAATGCTTTACCATTTTGTGGCAACGATGAGTCGGAAAAGTCTATGTATAAAGGGATTTTCTTGTGGACTTTAAAGTTAATCGGAAGAATAAATGGTGATATAGAAAAGGTTATGTTACAAAATGCCCCGAAGAACAATCAAATTACATCTCCAAAGATTCAAAAAGATCTTGTTACTTGCTTTGCAGAAGAAGTGTTGAAATCCATTACTAGGGAAATTGGTGATGATGTATTTGCTTTGTTAGTGGATGAGTCTAGCGATGTCTCTAGAAAAGAACAAATGGTCGTGGTTTTAAGGTTTGTTGACAAAGTCCGAGTTGTTCAGGAAAGATTTATCGGCGTTGTTCATGTGATGGATACATCTGCTTTAAGTCTTAAATATGTTATGGATGCTTTATTTTCAAAACATGGATTGAGTTTCAAAAAGGTAAAAAAGGTTTATTAATAATTTATTTGTTTTAAGTCTTAAGTATATTATTGAATCTTTGGCTAAATGGCTAAATTTATCTTTAAAATAGGTAAGATGACAAGGTTATGAAAGTGTTAGCAATATGAGTGGTAAGTTTAATGGGTTGAAAGCTTTGAGTGATAATAACTCGGCATTTTATATACATTATTTTGCCCAACAACTTTAGTTAGTAGTTGTGGAGGTTGCAAAAAAACACAACAGTGTTAATGACTTCTTTGATTTGTTTGCCTTGGTTGTTACTGTGGTAAACTCTTCTTGCAAACGAAAAGATATGTCATAAGAAAGTCACAACGATAGAATTCAAGAAGAAACTGGAAATGACGAAATTGAGACTGGCAAGGGGTTAAACCAAGAGATTTCCCTTGTACGAGCTGGAGATACATGATGGAATTCTCATCTTAAAACAGTCATGAGTTTGATTGCTTTGTTTCCAGAGGTTATAAAGGTGCTTGATTATTTTGAAGATGATGGTGATAATGGAGCTAGTCAGCTTCAAGCAAGAGGTCTTTTTATCATACTTCAAGACATTTGAATTTGTGTTTTATATGCACTTATTATCAACCATCTTAGGGTTAACAAATTCATTTTTCTCAAGCATTTCAAAGGAAGATGAAGACATCTTGGAAGATGTTGATTTGATAGGAACAACCAAAATTCAATCACAAATGTTGAGAGAAATGAGTTTGATCAAGTTTTGGATAAATGCTACTCATTTTGTGATAAACATAAGATTTCCAAGTCGGATATGGTCGAAGGTTATGTTAATACAAGAAATTCAAGGAAAAAGATGAACATTAACATATTCAACATTGTTTTGGGTATGCAGATTCGAGAGTTTGGTTATTGTTTTTGTGAGATAAGCACTGACTTGCTTCAAAATATGGAAGCTTCGAATCCATGCAATTTCTTTTCTCAGTTTAAAAAATCAATCCTATTGAAGTTGAAGCAGATGTATCCACGTGATTTTGAAGACAATGAAATGATCATTTCATTTTGTCTATTCATGAGCAAACATCCTTTCATGGAGTTGGTGAGCACTAAATTCGATTAATCGGCTCCGTGCAGTACTATACTCTTGAGAGGGTATGGGTTTGTTATTTGTGTGTGGAAGGACAAGACAAAAATAATCTTGCATGGATAGATTCATTTGATCGCAGAATGCTGGAATGACGTTGGAGGTCTCTTCAGCATGCATTGAGGCTTATGCAGTCTTCACACATATGTTGACCAGGTTGTAATAACTGAATACCGCTTCAAATCACGAACACGCTAGTCACTAATCTTCATTTTCAGTCTTCGACTTATGCTGAAGGTTCTTTGGTGTGAGTTTTTGTCTTCTTGAAGTATAATTGTCGTTGTAGAGTTACAATACATGTTTCAGCAATCACTGAACAGACTCAGTGACGATCGCTGGAACTGAATAGACAGAAACATAATATTTCGATGGGTAAAATGGATTATCATCAAATCAATGAGAGAGATGATCAACACTGGGTCCGAGGTACATTGGGTCGTTAAGAATCAGTAAACGGGTTGGTGAAGTAGCGTATCTGTTATAGTTGCCAGAAGAACTCAACTCTATTCATAACACTTTCCATGTTTCTAATTTGCGGAAGTGTTTGGCTGATCCAAATATGGTTGTACCATTACCTGAGATTCAGATTGATGATAAGTTAAGCTTTGTGGAAACCCCAGAAGCCGTCACCGACCAGAAGACTAAAGTGTTGAGAAATAAAAAAAATTAGTTTGGTAAAAGTTCAGTGACAAATTCATAAGAGGCAAGGGGCTACATGGAAACTAGAATTTGAAATGATAACCAAATACCCACAGTTGTTTCACTGATTGAATTCAGGGACGTAATTCTTCTGAGGAGGGAATAATATAATAACTGGTTTAAAAGTGTTTTGAAAAGTTTGGGTGATTTCTGTTAAGTGGAGGAAGTTGAGGGGTGGGTTCTGAAATTTTGTTTAAAATATCATTTTCTCATTCACCGCCTCTTATCGAAATACACATGTTATGGATATATTTGTTGCTACTTGGGGTTTTGTTAAAAAAAAAAGTGTGTGCGTGTGCGCACGCACATATTTGCTTTTTGGTTCGAAGTTAACAGAAATCGAATAAGAAGAAGAAACTGGTTTTGTTCTCTTAGCTGAATTTTGTTGCCGTTTAATATCTTCATCTACTGTGATTATATTCAAGGTGAGTTTTACTTTCAAGAACATCATTTAAATTTCATTTAGTGAAGAAATCGTAGGGTTTCATATGTGATGTATTGAATATGATTATATGTTATTATTAGCATAACTTTAGGTTTTGATATGTTATTATCAACTGGTAGGAATAACGGTGGCATAATCAGGAGAGATATATTTTTGGGATAAGGGTGGCATAATCAGGAGAGACATATAATGGGATAAGGGTGGCATAATCATGAGAGACGTATTTTGGGTTAAGGGTGACATAATCAGGAGAGACTTATAATGGGATAAGGGTGGCAAAATCAATTGTATGTAAAAATGGGATTTTGATCATATTGAAACAGTTATCGCATCTTCATGACGCGATGAGTGTAGATTATCGCATCTTCATGACGCGATGAGTGTGGATTATCGCATCTTCATGATGCAATGAGCTGGCCTCATCGCATTCTTATGATGCGAGCAAAGTGTTTATCGCATCCTTGTGATACGAGGAATGGGTATTATCGCATCCTTGTGACACGAGGAATGGGTGGGTGTTATCGCATCCTTGTAATGACAAAGTGGGTTATCGAATCAATATGATGTGAGGAATTGTGATCACATCAATGACATGCGACAAGATTGATATGATGCGATAAAATGTAATCGCATCAATGAGATGAGACAAGTTCTTATGATTTATGATTGTTGCTATAACTTTGGTACTTCATAGGTTGATGAGATGAAAATGAGGTTGTCTCATCTATGAGATGCGAAAAATAGGTTTGTTTCAATAACACTGTTTATTTGTTACCAATACAAATATGTGCTTTCTAAAAAGTGTTTTGGTGATTTTCACTCTATAATAGCAATCAGAAGGGATTTCTCACTAGACCTAATAGCCTAACCCTTATTTTGTTTTAAAAATATGTATTACAGGGCAGACACATGTGGAGAGTAAGGGAAAGGGAAAGATGTGAAGAAATTATGATTGTTTTACATATGTAATTTTTGGGAAGCTGTTATATTACATGTACTTGAGAACTTGTTATGTTTGTAAGTCATGTACTTGATGAAATAAAAAATCAGTAGCCACTTTTATATATAGTAGTTGTACATTTGAGACCAATGTGTATATTTGTATTTAATGTTAAATTGAATATGTGGTTTTATGAAAATATGGGTTTAAGGTATTACAACAATAAATTGTATTGACATTTTAAGATTGCTTGGTGGATAAATTCTTTTTTTTTTTTTTTCAAATTGCACATGAACCTCCATTTTTAGAATTCATAAAATTGCTAAATAACAATGACAATTGTAGGTATATTTTTTCATTATTCTTTTTCAATTTTTATATTTTTCACTTATATTAATTTCTTATCAATATAACATTCTGCTGAATTTTGGCCTTCATTATAGATTAAGGAGTCGTTTATCAAATACTTACTTGGTAAGCGTTTATTTGTAAAATTTAACACCATCATTTACTTATGAGTAATATTTTAGTCAACTAAAATGCCCTCGTATGCAACAATTCGGGTAAAACTCTTGGTCCTTGTCATGCTCTTACCGGGTAAGATTCTTGGTCTTTACCATATTCATCTGCTAAGATAATTTGATTTGATAAACACTTACCCAGATAAACGTTTGGTAAACGATCCCTAAATTCTCCCAAATTATGGATTGTTGTAGATGACATGATGTTTTTTATTTAAATGAATGTGATTGCTAAACAAGGCTTGATGTTTTCACTTATTTTTATATATCAATTTTTTTTAACTTTGTAATAAACCTGAAAAGATAAAATAATACATGAGACTATTGATAAAAAATCGTAAATTGCATAATGAACATTATTATTTTTTTATTAATCTGGATATCCAATCCGTTATGCGAGTCGACTAATCCCATGATGACTACATGCTTTGTAGGTAGCATGGACTCACCGCATTTGAACCTCCGTGGCCACAAGGGGATTTTTGTTTCTTCTTGGATTGAACCTGAGACCTCCAGGCACTTTTGACCTTTGGAGTCAAGCTCAAACCAATCATGCACCACCCTTGTGAACATTATTTTTGTTCATAACTTATCGATCTATCTCTTATTTATATCGTTATCATGGATTTCCAATTCACCGCACAAACACGATGTTGTTACTTAGTGGCCGTTTACCAAACACTTACGTGGTAAGCGCTTACCGGTGAAGTTTAACATCATCATTTACTTATCAGGTAAGATTTTAGTCCACCAAAACGGTATCATATACAACAATTTACCCGGTAAGCGCTTAACATAGTAAGAGTCGTCGTCCTCACTTACCAAATAAGACTCTTGGTCCTTGTATTGCTCTTACCTGGTAAGATTCTTGATCCTTACCATATTCATCCGGTAAAGTAATGTGACTTAGTGTTCACTTACCCGAGTAAGGCAGTAAGCGTTTGGTAAACGACCCCTTAGTTTGGTATAAAATGGGTATTGATATTTTTGTTAGAAATGCTCTTATGAGCATCTTCAACAGATCCTTCATAATTTCTATAATGGAGAATCAAAAATCCAAACCTCTAAAAAAATATAACTCCAACAATTACTCCATTTTAAAGATTACAACATTAATTATATTATTATAAAAATATTCAGTACATTAAATAAAATATTTTTTTTCTTATCTAAATGTTTAATATTCAGTACATTAAATAAAATATTACTCCAATCTTGGTTTTTAGTTGATCTGAATGATATCGACGGTGACATTATACTTGTTTTCGGCCACAAACAACGAATGAGGCCACGTAG